GGAAAACGGCTCCAGGTTCTAGTTATGCTCGTGAAAATGGTTTCAAAACACAACCAGGAAGCTCACTGCCTCGCAACCGATATGCAGAAAACGCGTTTGAAGTCGTCGACAAGCAAACAGAGAACTTGTCTCCAGTTTCAACAGCCACAGACTGGACCTATGAAGATGATTTATCTGCAATGTCAGTAGCATCTGTTGCTAAAGGCAGTGGTGATAACGTTGGTTCTCAATCCGATTCGCGTGGCTTTGCCTGGAAAATGCAGCTTAGAACTCGCACCATCGATCCAGCACAGGCAACGGTAACTGGGAGACTCGGCGAGCACGTCGCCTTCAAATATTTCACTGAAAAGTTCAGTGACACAGTAGTTAAGTGGGTTAATGAGGACTCAGAATCTGGATTCCCCTTTGATATAATTGTAGGAGACAACGAGGAGAATAGACAGTACATCGAAGTGAAATCAACCCGATCTGCAAGGAAAGATTGGTTCGACATATCAATGAGAGAATGGCAATTTGCAGTTGAAAAGGGAAAATCATTCAGCATTGCACACGTTTTATTATTAGCTAATAACGTCGCTCGGGTCTCGATTTTTACGAATCCAGTTAAACAATGCCAGTCGAGCAAGCTCCAACTGGCTCTTTTAATGCCCAAGCAAAAGGAGTACTCCACTGTCTTCTCCTCCTGAAATAGCAGCTCGTTGGTTTGATTTTCGAGCTCGTTGTAGAGACGGAGAATATCTCAATCCAGTTCACTCGTTGTCGAGACGGAGGACATCTCAATCCAGCTCGCTCGGAGGCTGGATTTTCTCAGCAGTCGCAAGCTATAATCTGTGAGCACCAGCAGCGGGCTGGCTAGTCTTTAATTTTTGTACATCCTGCAGTGTTATTCATTGTACATAATTACCTAGCAAAGCTCTAGTGTTATTCACTGTAACATTATTTGCTATGCTTTCAAAATCAGTCCTAGATTTTTTTTTTTTCTTTTTAGTTATAATAATATCATTAAGTCTAATATTTTTCAAATTGTTAAATAAAATATCATATTATAAAATTATGGATGTGAATTCCCCAAATTTGCATTCAATATCATTTTAGGGTGATTTTTGCATATTTTCCTTTTAACCATAATAATTATTTTATTTTTATGTTAAAATATCATTTTTGGTGTATGTAAATTGAGCTTTATTATTTTTTAATTATAATATGACTAACTTTTTTAAAATAATTTTTTTTGAAAGTATAAAAATTAAAATAAACAAAATAACTTAAATATCGCGCCTAGAAAACCATAGTTGGTCGACATGTCGAATCACTATGAAGTGCAAAAGATGTGTCGTTTATATTTACAACACGAGAGCCTCAAGGAGAGTAAACAAAGGTTAAACCTTCTTCAAGGCCCAGAAGCTCGTGCCTCTACCATCACAGTCATCAATGGCGTTAACCTCTCGTTCTGCGATCCGCACTGCGACCAATGTCTCCAATAACCTTCTACGCTCCTTCTCCACTTCCATTAAGTCCGCTCACCATAACAATCACCAGCAGACGCACAAATACTTGGAGGCGAGCGCCTTTGTTGGCAGCTGGGAGGCGCCGAAAGACCCTAAGGAAGCGCAGGCCAAACTCGCTCTGCTCCGAAGGGACTACGCCAAGCAGGTGAAGCAGGTGCGCAAGAATTACATCCAGGAGGTCGAAGTCTTGAGGCTCGAAAAGCAGCGCAAGGATGAAGCCAAGAGAGAGGCGCTTAGGGTTGCCAATGAGGAACGCAAGAAGCTTAAAGCCGAAGCTGCGAAAGCCCGAGCCGAAGAGCGTAAGGTTGCTGATGAAGAGTTCCGTCGGACTTTGGTAAGTGGTTTCCTTATCTTCTTGAACATTTACATCGTGAGATACTATTGTTTGAAGATCTTCATTGGAAAGAATTTGATTGGAAATGCATCCGTTGCATCTTCCAATCAATTGGATTCAAATAGCAATCTATTCATTTTTCTTCTAATGATTGAGAGAAGTGCAATCTCTTGTCTCATGCTCAGTCGAACAGTTTCCTGGCTAGAATTCGTATATTTACTCTTATAGTGTAAGATCCACATGAAACACCCTTTACTCTACTCTACAAGGATGCAGAGACCTCCCCTAGAAAACGCGTCTTACAAATGGGGACCTCTCCCTAGTAGACGCCTTTTAAAAACGTGAGGTTGAGGGCGATAGGTTATGGACCAAAGCGCACAATATCTCTACTGGCAGTGGGTTTGGACTGTTACAAATGGTATCAGAGCCAGACACCAAGTAGCGTGCCAGCGAGGACTTTGGCACACAAGGGGGCCAGACACCAAGTAGCGTGCCAGCGAGGACTTTGGCACACAAGGGGGTAGATTGTGAGATTGTGAGATCTCACATTAATCGGAGAGGAAAACGAAACATTTCTTATAAGAGTGTGGAACCTCTTCCTAGTAGACACGTTTTAAAACCATGAGGTTGACGACGATTTCGATAATTTCATAGTGGGAACTTTTAATTTGACTTGCTCATTGAGTAACTGTGTGGAGCTTTTGAACTAAAAATTTTAAAATTGAGCTTTTGAAGATTTTGTTTTGCTAAGCCTTTGAATCCTTGTGGCAACAAATTAAGAAGGAAGGCATAATGGGACAGTGGCTTTTGTGCTGTTGTTTGGGAAATTTGGTACAACGAAGCATAAGGTTAAGGCTTAATTCGGCCCATTCCGTTGCTTCATTATCCTTTAAATTCCTACTAAGTTTTAGGTCTCAAAATTTGTTGACAACATTCTACGTTTCTTTAATCGTGGCTTCTTTGCTATGAGAGAGCTTGTACAAAAGTGGATACTTCAAGGCTAGCGTGGTATTTTCAATCCATGTGCTTCCCCTATCACCCACCTTATGACAGGTTCGATTGGTGATGAAGTTTTGATGTTTCTTTATGTACTTTCAAGGCCCGTTTGTAGTAGATGTAGGAGTATATTTAGCCCTTAAAAGATTTCTTCGTAAAGCATTTTCTTCATGCTGATATCTCCATATTCATTTGGCGAGGAGAGCTTTGTTCTTCTTCCTTATCGAGAGAAGACCGAATCTTGGTCACCAAATCTTGTGTTCAAGTGAAAAGCCTAGTTTATGCTTTTCATTAAATTCATCTTACGTCGTATGGACCTCATCGTATTGACATTCCATAGCCATGCTTACTGGATCGATTCGATTGATATATACTCTTTTACGTGGCGCATGTAATGCCTAGTTAATGCTTGGTAGGAATTTCTCCAACAAAAAGACAAGAACAGAAGTGCCTAGTTTCACAATTAGGTAAGGGTTTCGGCATGTTACGGGCATGCGGCCATGGGCAACACGCCTTGGACAAGCATGACCGTGACACCTAGCCGATGGTGAACATCGGTTTGACCATCTTGAAATCACTTCTTAAGCAGCAGGATATTAGTTCAAAAGGATAGAAAATATTATCTTGTTCTTGCATTTCATTCTTTGATACGATAATGATATCCGTTACCCGTTACGTTTAGATTCGTACAATCATCTAATGCGATTCGCTTGATGTGACGTAGATGAAAGAAAGAGGAGAGAAGCTTGAGCATTGGAGAATGATGGAAAAGAAGAGAGAAGAGAAGAAGAAAGAAAAGAATGAGGCAATAAGAAGGCAGAGTTCCATGTGGGTTGATGAAAAGAAGTTGGAAGAGAAGCTGTTAGACGCCATTGTTAATACCATCCCTCTCTGAGCTTCCCATCCCATGTGGGTTCTTACAGTTTCAGATGATTATTACCAGATTCTGACTCATAATTTCTTGCATCTCCAAGGTTTTGTTCACTGTTACATTATACTCAATCCTCATGAAATTGGTTTTCCTTCCTTGGTTTTTAAGCTCATATGCTTCGGTATTTCAACTCTTTATGGTTTGTAGGTTCAAATCTACCCTTCCTTTTTATTACTATTATTCATATTATGAGGCAATATATATAGATTTCGTCTATAGGCGTGAAATAAGGTCTATTATCGACCTCTCTATATGAAAGCGTGCAGAGGAATTCCTACCAGGAGTTCGGTTGGATCTAAGCTTCTTCCCTGGTAGAGGCACTGGTCACCCAAATTCTTGAGTTTGAATAGGGTCAGGGAAGCAAAGCTTAATGAGCTTTCTGCCGGCCGACCACTACATAAATTGCTGCAGACGCTTTCCTTTTTAAGATAGCAAGGAGGCAATTTGTTCGTTGGACCAATGAGCACTAACTCTGACTTTCGTGTTTTGAAAGGAATGCTGCTGACTCAACGAAAATTCGTCGCCAAGGCCTAGAATCACTCTCGAGAAAAGGCCTGATTTACATACTTGTTCTCTGCTGCGAACTGGGAGCTAGACCTAGCGCGTATATATATATATATATATATCAATTTAAATATTTTACAATTATTCATTTTTTTTTTTCGCTATCATTTAAAATTAGCTTGAAATCATATAAAAATTAATCCTTCAAAAAATTTAGAAAAATTATCACAATCTTTATAAATAAATAAAAGAATAGAAAAATAGAGTGGAAGGTTAGAAGATTAAAAAATTACTCAAATTTAATAAAAATGGATACTCCCTTCTTCGGGATATAAAAATTAGTAAGTCTTGCCATGTAGATCGATTCTACTTACGACTTGAGAGAGTGAAAAACCTTCTATGTCTTTCTTCTAGCAGTATTCCTTTAAGTCTTATCCATTCCGGGCGATGCAGATTGTAGGAGAGAAGGCAATGTCTTATAAAGACTAGCCCTTAAACAAGATTTGAATTAAATTGTTAAAATTTAAATGGATACAAAATATCAAAATTAAATATAAATTATTCTCTTATTATGTTTTAGTTCAACAAATGGGATAGAGAGACCTCTCGATGAAAGATATGTCTTATCTCGTAGTTAAAGAAATCTGTTAATAAGAAAACGAATCAAACCATCAGGTATATTATATAACCATCAAACTTTGGCATGATCCATTGCACACTAAAAGAGTTCCAAGTGAATATGTAAAGAGCTTTCAAAATTGTGAACCTAAACCCCAAGGGCATCATCCTTTTGGAACACAATTCTATATTGCAAATGAATGAAAATACTAAACAAAACACATTTCCTACAAGAAAAGTAAAACTGGAAAGAAGAAAGAAAGAAAGAAAGGAAGAACACAAGTTTACAGGCTGCAGAAAAACCCAATCTAAATCAATGACACAGACATTCTGAGTATGATTTACATCCATATGAGAAGGCAAAGAAGGGCCAGGGAGAGGGTAAAAGAATGTCTAATCCTATTCATAGTAACCAGCCAAGAACCAAAAACCCATCATTTCAAGATTAAAAGAATGTCGTTTTTTCCTTCCAAGACACAACCAACCAACCAACCATCCATCGGTCACTGGCTCTTTGGTTTTTGAATCTTCACGTATGGAAACAATCCCCAAAAGTGGACTACTCTCGGGTTCCATTCTAGTTGTTGAGCACGACAAAACATTAAAAATGTGTTGGCGAAATAAGAATTGAACCCCATTAATACATGCCATAATGCATGACCCTGTGGGTTTATATACCAGCTAGAGATGTTCTTGCAGTATAAGCGATCAAAAAGCCAGCAAACAGTCCCAAGAGAGATGGTTGTCAAGTATAATTTTGCTAGCCGCTTAGCGTGTATGTCGTTCGTGTGAATATAGTACTTGTACATTCTTGGGATGCAGAGAAGACACAGTATTGCATAGTGTACCTTAAAGCCTGCTCCGAAACGGACGATTGCATGAGCAACGGCGAAGGCAGCTCCATATAGAAACAAGAACGTTGGCATCGTGCTTCGGTAGTGCCAATCGGGCGAATAAAGGATGTAGATATAGAGGAGCATTTCCCATACCATAGGTGTTTCGTCGCCTTGCTGTTGTCTGGAAATAAGTTTAGAGTTGAATCCAATAGGGTACTATTATAATGGATGAAGATTTCACAGAAAAACATTCATAAATTTGATAGCATAATGGAAGTTTATGCATCCACTAGCGATAATTAACGTTCGTAAGAACATTTATGAATACTTAAAATGAATGAAGATTTGACGGAGCATGCAAGCCAATGCTAAAAACAATCATAAATTTGATAGCATAATGAAGATACATCCACGAGCCATAATTAACGTTCACAAGAACATTTATGAATACTAAGTCATAGAAATACACCATAAAAGTTCCAGAAGAAATAATTTTACAGGGCATTCATCATGACATGTACCAGACCTCGGTAGAGGGGGCGTAAAAAGTTGTAACTCCTAACACGTTAGAAAAATATAAAATCAGAGATGAGAGAATGAATTCCAATCAAGAATGAAATGCCTCGACAGTTCTAACTTCTTCTTTTTGCGAGTGTGTGTGCGTTAACTAAAATAAGTTCGTAGACGTAAACTGTGAAATCCCACATTGATTGGAGAAGAGAACAAAACCTTCTTTATAAGGATGTGGAAACTTTTCCCTAGCAAACGCGTTTTAAAAACCTTGAGGGGGAGCTCGAAAGGAAAAGCCCAAAGAGGATCCAAAGTAGTTCGTCCCTTAACTCCACACAACAACATTTTGTAATTTGAACACTCGTGGAATCTATCTTATATCGACCTTTTTATTCACAACCTATACATACTAAAATTAACATTTCAACTCAAGCAATTAATACAAAATTCCAAGCGAAAAAATAGGACGATCACATAATCATCTTCATTCTTTATTCTTCAATATAAAGGTAATAAGACTTACACTCGTTGCAACGTAGCATGATACAGCATGCTTCCAATGGAAAGGATCATATTTGATATGTGAAGAACGCTAAACCTCTTCTCAAACCTTTGTCTCAAGGCATTTACGAGACCAATAAGTGCTAAAATGAGGCATGGAATATTCGATATCGTGTTGAAGAATTCGGCAATATAAGAAGAGTAGACATAGTTGCTTTCACACCACTCAGGAGATGTGACAGGACCCCAGAAACTAGATATTGTATCTGCCATTCGAAAATTAAGTATGCCCCAAGATAATCGAATTGCGTTGTAGGATCGTTCGAATTTTACAAACCTGCAATCATATTTTTCAACAAGTCAGTGCATAAAACAACACACATACAAGTCAAAGCAGAATTTACTTCCATTTTTTACTCAAGAACATCTGAAGGAAATATGTATTTGATGAGGAAACTTGTCTGAATTGCTGTAGATTCTTAAGACTAGAGGATCGATTGACCAATTTCATTAAGGAAAACAACCGGCAGATGTGCAAGGCCTACAGAGAAAGATTTGCCACCTTCCTAAACTCCTAAGTCAAGTTAAGAAGCCATAAACGATAGTACTAAATTACTATCTCCATCTTTTGTACTTTGCTTGCAATAACAGAAACCGCCAAACCTAGAATCGGACTAAGCTAAGAAGACGTAATTGTAACTTTCATACATCATCTCTTCAATTCTTTGCCGTGCATATAAGAGACGTCAGTAGTAAACTAACTCGAACACAACGACGCTAAGAACCATACCAACGCTTTCTGATGCAAATTTAGAACCAAAATATCCACGCTGGCCCTAACAGTTCTGCAAACTTGTTCCATTTCTTTCATTTTTCCATCATGACTTGAATTCCTCAAGAAATTCAAGAAACAGGCAATGGTTCGAATCTCCATACACAACAATCACGGAGCAATAGAACTAAAAATGTAAAAAAGAATCAAGAAATAAAAACCAAGAACTTCGAAACTGAGGAAGAACAAGAAGATTGAAGAAACTACTGACCGTTCCGAAATAGATCTAAGCTAGAGAATAACCATTCTTGGATTCTTGAAATTCAAATTCCTGAGGTCTTTCTGTCGGTATTGCGAAGCGATCGGAAGAGATCTAAGCTGAGAGTCCGAACCAATTAGGGATTACCCAGAAGGAGGACGACGAGCGCGTGGTGAGGATATAATGGAAGATGACGGAAATCATTTGTGACCGTCGGATTAAATAAGCCGACGGTTGATATTGCTCCGGTCATCGAGCTTTGGCGCGCCTCGTGATTAATGGAATCAGAATCCGACTTTGAAGCGCTTTACAGCCGCGTGTGATTCACGCGCTCATGTGCTTTCGAGCTCGTCACGCTCCCTCGCTTATTTATTTATTTTGTAAGAATAACGCTTAAAATGTTTCTTAATGTGAATTTAAGAATATTTGAACGTATATAAATTATTTATAAAAAAAAAACAGATTAAATTATTAATTATTATATTATTCAATATTTTATTATGTAATAAAGAAAAAAATAAACAACAATTTAATACCTTCACAATTATTACATCGAGAGGTAACCGTCCAAATAGATCTTTAACCAATGAACTAGATTTTGCACTTTGATCAATAATATAAGAGATTTGATCCGATGGTGAAAATCAATTGATTTTACATGACGTCTAATTTATAAGTAAATACCTATCTAACATTTTCACAATGTATTTTTCTAATAATATATTAAAACAAAAAAAAAATCCTTACCGTAGAAAATTGTTAGTATTTTATTGACTTAAATTAAAATAATTTTTTTAGTTAAAAATGTATATATTTTTTTAATTTCATGGTATTTTTAAATATAATATAAAAGATTTTCTAATGATATTTTCTATTGGTTAAAAATTAAGAGAATTATTTATTTATTTTATAAATTTAGGAGTATTATTAAAAAAAAATGAAAGTTAAAAGAATATTTAGTATTATTATTTATTATTTATTATTTTTTATATTTTATTTATTTATTTATTATAATTATTATTATTCTTATTATTTGGTAGGAGTTAAGAGTTATTTTTATTAATTAGCGTTTTATTTTTCTATTATTACCCTATCATTTATTTTTGAAAATAAATTAAATGAATTTGAAATTAAAAGTTTAGATAAAATCTAATTTATTTATTTAGTCGCGTGGTGGCGCCAAAACCCTCGAGGGAAGCATAGACTCTCAAGTAGAGACCCCTTCACCATAAGCGGGCACTGGAAGGAGCTCGCATGGAGCACAGCCATGGAGGAAGCCGACAATATCCTCCGAACTCTCGGACACTTCACCAGCAAAGAGAATCGGGAAAATTTCTTCACCATACGCGCCCATGGCGATGCTTTCTAGTGGTATGCCGAGTGGCCTGAGCTCCGCCAGTCTCTCTGAGTAGCTCTACGACGCCGGTTTTCGATGCACCACCAACATTGATTTATCTAAAGTTGTAATATCCGATATGCTGCGCCGGCACGCGAGGGAACGCCCTGATTTGCGGTGGCGCGTCATGGATATGACGAACATGCAGGTAACTGAGATCTTGGAGATGAATTTGATTCTTGAAATGTCGTGTTGGAGTGTGTGTTATTGTAGGACGTTGTTAGCTATACATTACACGATAATTTTGTGCGGGATTGATTTTTAGAGCGATTATGAATGAAATACATCTAGTTTATGAACTGTTGGGCATCGACATTCCTAAAATTGTAGCTCGTTAGATAGGTACTCTGCCGAAGTGAATTAAGAGCAAGTTTAGAAACTCACTGCTTCACTTTTCCTTAATTGCTCTAGCTCGTTAGACACGGGCTCTGCCCAAATGAAATAACGGGACAAGTTTGAATCACATTATACCAAAGGTTTTTGTTACCCTCTCCAATCGGTATGGGATCTCATAGTCCATCCCCTTCGAGACCCAGCGTCCTCGCTGACACTCGTTCCCCTCTCCAATCGATGTAGGATTGACATTCGTTCCACTCTTCAATCGATATGGGATCTCACAATCCACCCTCTTTGGGGTCCAGCGTCCTTGATGACACTCGTTCCTCTCTCCAATTGATGTGGGATCTCATAGTCCCTTCGGAGCCAGCGTCCTCGCTGGCACACTGCTCGATGTCCACCCCCTTCAGGGCTCAGTATCCTCGTTGGCACACCACTTGGTGTCTGACTCTTATACCATTTGTAACAGCCCAAGCCACCACTAGCAAATATTATTCTCTTTGGGTTTTTTCTTTCAGGTTTCCCCTCAAGATTTTTAAAACGATTCAGCTATGAGAGGTTTCCACACCCTTATAAAGAATGCTTCGTTCCCTTCTTTAGCCAATATAAGATCTCACAATCCACCCCTTTTAGGGGCCAGTGTCCTCACTAGCACTCATTCTTTTCTTCAATCGATGTGGCACCTGAGAAATTTTTATGGTAAGTAAATTTTGAAGAAACCTCAGAACTTCAGGCTTATTGTTTAAATATTTGTTATTTGGAACTTTCTTTAGCATATAACAAGTAGATCATTGGAATATTGCAGTACACTTTTGTGGTCTACTTCTTCATTTTTGTTGTTTATATGATGGGATGCATCTCAATGGATGATTGAAATGTCCTCTGGTTGTTTATACCTTTGATGCTGGGGCCTTGTATTCTTTTTAGATATCTGTTCTCTTCGGAAGAAGGCGGGTGGATGATTGTTGAAAGCTCAAAACCCGCTCGGCTATTACAATGGTATTTGTTTATTGAACATTGGAACTCTGTGCATACATTTCTATCTTAATATCTGTTCGATGAACACGACTCTCCACAATGGTATGATATTGTCCACTTTGAGCATAAGCTCTCAAAGCCTTCCTCACTTATAAATTCACGATCATTCCCTAAATTAGTCAATTTGGGACTCACCCTCAATAATCCTCAACAATACTCCCCTCAAACAAAGTACACTATAAGCCTCCCTTGAGGCTTATGGAGCTCTCGAATAGCCTCCCCTTAATCGAGGCTCGACTCCTTTCTCTGGAGCCCTCAAACAAAGTACACCCCTTGTTTGACACTTTAGTCACTTTTGACTACACCTTCGAGGCCCACAATTCTTTGTTCGACATTTGAGGATTCTATTGACATGGCTAAGTTTAGGGCATGACTCTAATACCATGTTAGATGAACACGACTCTCCACAATGATATGATATTCTCCACTTTGAGCATAAGCTCTCGTGGCTTTGCTTTTGACTTCCCCAAAAGGCCTCATCCAATCGAGATAGTATTCCTCACTTAAAACCCATGATCATTCCCTAAATTAGCCAATACGTGACCAATAATCCCCAATAGTATCCATTACAGATATCTCTGATTTGCTCTAGGTTCTATTAGATGAGACACAATCTGGTGCCAACATGGATGCTATTATCCGGGTACTATTTGCTTTGCCTTTGATTTTGCCGTTTATGTATGACCTGATTTTACCGTTTAGTTCAAGTTTACATGTCACTATACACATAATGACGGTTTAAGATCCTCTAGGTTTCTGAAATATTGTGATTCAGAAAAATGTTGTAGGTTTGGAAATTTGATGGGAAATTTCATTTTGTGGCGATTTTGTAGTACTCACTCTCTCCACCGAGTGAGTCAGCCAACTCTAAATCGTGTCTCCTTCGATCGGATGACGTATACCCAAACCTCTAACCTTGCTTTAGGAAAAAGGTTTTAGAAAATGGAGACGGAGAGAGGTTTTAGAAAGAGAATTTGAAAACAAGATGGAGAGAAATGAAGAAAGCAATATTATAGGCTATAAGCGAAAAGAGGTAACACAACGGCTTAGATAACATATAACTCCAGGTATGAAGAATTGAGAACTAGTCGCATTCCCCATAGTACATTTTGATGCATTTCAGGTCTATCAGGTGTAGATATGATTCTGTCAAAACATCATACACTCAGAAAATACAATAGGAAAACTGTGCATCATGAAAGCAGTAAAGGAAAGTAAAGTGATACAAAACAAGGGTTTTGACATGGAAAGGGCATGCGACCGTGGGGCAACACGCTTTGGACAAGCATGTCTGTGACACAATGCACTTACAACTCATTAACGTCCTAAGAAAACTATATTAGGTTTGTAATCATAATCATAACATGTGAGATCCCACATCAGCGAGAGATACTGAACATTTCTTATAAGGGTATGGAAACTTGTTTTAAAATCATAAGCGAGATGTAAATACATAAAAATTGTCAGCAATCATTTAAATTTTATAAATTTTAAAGTAATTTAGAAATAGGAAAAATATATTATTTCTTGAACCACATATTTTATTTTCTTCCAAAAAAAAAAAAACGCGCAATGCTTTGTGCCACTATAAATAATAGCCGGTTGTGCTCTTCGACTCGGGCGATTCCTCATCTTTGTTCTCTTCGACTTGGCCAAACCCTAACGATATCTCAGCCATGTCGTCCAAACAAGGTACGATCTATTGAGCGTTCTTTTCCGATTTCATTTTGGATTCGGTAGTCTCATCGATTGTGTTCTATGTCTTTACAGGAGGGAAAGCGAAGCCATTGAAGCAACCCAAGGTCGAGAAGAAAGATTACGACGAGGTACTCTTTGATTTTTTTTTTTTTCCGTAATGGATCTATGCCGCAAATCATCTATGTTCTTCCTGGTTCTCTTCATTTTTTATACAATTTTTTTGGATCGAAGAATTTCAATCTGCCTGATCAAGGCTGTAAAAGAGAATAGAAGTTATTTTTCATTAACGTGCGCCTGATTTTTGGTTTTGGTGTAGTTTTTTTGTGCCTTTTTTCTTGTTATTATTTTTTATTGCAAGAATCATTATTGTCCATTCTATTCAACGGGGAGGGAAGTTCGTGCTAAAATTATTGATTGATGCCCTCACCTGAACTGTCTATTCCATTCATTGGTCATTTTTAATTAATGATCGATCCCTTCAGCTGTCTCTATCTTAATTCGTTGTGGAGAAACTCTTATTTTCAAAACTGAACTTTGAATTTTTCTGCGTTTTCTCAACAGGTTGATATGGCAAATATTCAAAAGAAGAAGGACGAGGAAAAGGTTAGAACTGAACTTTGAAGTTGAAATCTGTTCTTATTAAGAGAAAAGATTGAAAACAACGGATTTAGATGCTAGTTTTTTAATACTTTTGTTCATTTTGGTTCCCTCATTTTCGTTTTTATCTCATTAGTACCGATTCATTCACTAAATTTCTTGAACTATAACCATAAATTTGCATCGAAGGATTTGAATTGCGTGTAAAATTTATGTTAAAATGTTGTAAGGACATTTTAGAACTACATGAACCAAAATGAACCATGCCAAAATTACTTCCTAGACCATTGGTTGTCTGCTAATTACAATTTTGAGATGTTTGGATGGTTATACAGGCGCTCAGAGAGCTTAGAGCAAAGGCCCAACAGAAGGGAGCGTTTGGAGGAGCTGGGCTGAAGAAGAGCGGGAAGAAATGAGGGCTCCCACGCAATGCATGTACGTACACATTACTTCACGACCTGAAATTGCAAACATCTAATGGCTGCTGTTTAATCAATTGAGTGTCTTTCTGTTCTGTGTAAAAGCCTGGGAAGAAGATGATCAATGCTCTTCTCCTGGTTTCTTTCTTTCTGGAATGGAATGGATAAAATTCTCATGGTTTAATTTAATAATTTTTGCAATTATCAACTGTAAATTTTTTGGGTTGTGGGTTTGTTTATTCTAATTTTTGTTTTTTAATAGAAGTATAAGGTTAGTTTCTAAAATATTTATTCAACTTAATTAGAATATATATTTTTAGAAATTACTTTTTAAATAGTTTTAAATTATTTTAAAGAGTTGTGAGGATAAATAATAATATGAAATTAAATACAAATAAAACTAATGTATGTATATATTTTTTAAAAATTGTTGATTTGGTTAATTTAATTTAATTTAAAGGAACTCTGCAAATTTAATTTTTTTTCATTTTTTTTTCTTTCGAACATAGCCTCTGTGTGGGCCATGTTTGTCTCTTTCAAATACAACATGATTAAGCAGCAACACTGCAACCTACCACTTTTATGATCGAGTAGCAAAAGCAAACTAAAAAAAAACTTGTAAATATTAAATAAAATAAAAGAAAAATAGGGACATTTAATATATTTGATGGCTAAATAAAACTCAATTTTTTATGGCTTATTAAAATATAGTTAATTTTAAAATAAAGTTTATTTTTTTTAAAAAAAAAAAACCTTGTACCAAACTAAGGTTGATTTAAATATATATATATGTATATATATATATATCACATTATATGGCTTATTAGTATAAGTATTTGTCAAAATTCAAAGAAAAAAAAGTTTATGTTATTTTATTTTTGTCTAAATTTTGGCCTTTCTACGGTTAATAAATCAAATTTTTTTAAAAAATTAAATAATAATGTTTTTTTATACCACGTGAAAATATAAAATCTATAACCAGAATGTTAATAAAGTTTACTATTTATTTAAAAAAAATCAAACCTAAATTTAAAATTATTAAAAATATAATAAAACTCAAAATACAAAATTTTAATTTTTATGATTTGATAAATTTCTCAAACTAATTATATTTTACCAACTTTTTTTAATATTTATTAAGTGAGAGTGTGAAGTATGCACTATTACTGGGCCGACAGACGGGTCGCTGTCGATGATTTTAATCATCCAGTTGTCAAGTTCGTCGTCTTCATCCGTCATCATTTTTTCCATTTCTCGATTTTTTTTTTTTTGCTTTTCTTTATCCAAAGGTTCAGAGAAACAGTGAAAAGGATGCAAAAATCTTTCACCTCAATGTGGAGTGAAAAATGTTGTTATCAAATCATTTTCTTCGTCTCCCCAAATTAATTCATTTCAGTTCGCCAAACTTCTCCGTTCAAAACGGAAATGATTATTTGCAGATCTGTCTTGCAATTGTAATTGCAACTTTATCCGATTTCCAAAGCGTTTTCACATTAATTCTCTGGATTATGCTTCTGGTCCTACTTCGAGTCCAATAATGTCGCTAGAGCAGGTCAATAATTTAATGGAAGTTTGTTTTTCTTTAGTTTATTGGTTTATTGTTTGCTTTTCTTTAGTTTATTGGTTTATTGTTCATCATATTTCGATTTTCGTTTGTTTTTAACTTTTTCGGTGCAGGTGGATCTTCGAAGAAGTTAAAATACGATGCTCGATTTCGTTTGAGAGTGTACGGTTTTGGAAGTTAATCCTTGTGGAACTTCAAATGGCTGTGAGTTTTCGAAACTTCTCTGTTCTTCGCTTTCTTCTTCCTTTTCTTTTTTCTTATCTGTTTCCAAAACAATGGAGCATACTGAATTTCTTGGATATTTTATTTATTATGAGTTGCGAACTGTTGCGATCTATGATTTGGTCATATTTTTTGGCTGCCTCTTGCTTATTCCATGCATATGACTGAGATGAAGGTTTGAAGATGGGGAAATCTTGGAATTTCTTGAGGCTTTGCTGTTTTATTTGTCTTTTCTTTAGTTCAATCACTTGTTGGTGGAAGGATTTGGACATCTAAACCTCTTCGGTCGAGGGTATATGTCTAAATCAGTTGAGTAACGCTTCGGTTAGCTTATTGTTTTAGAGTTCGTAATGTAGAATCACGGTCGTAATCTCTAGTGTGGGTTGAGCCTTTTGGTTCAGTTGAGGGTATATGTCCAAATCAGTTGAGTAATGCTTAGGTTAGCTTATTGTTTTGGAGGTCGTAATGTAGAATCACTGTCGTAATCTCTAGCGTGGGTTGAGCCTTTTGGCTCGGTTGAGGGTATATGTCCAAATCAGTTGAATAATGCTAGGTTAGCTTATTGTTTTGCTTGTTTTGATCTCTCCTTTTCTCCTTTATTGGGTTCTGGTTGCTTATGGAGGTCGTAATGTAGAATCATGGTCGTAATCTCTAGCATGGGTTGAGACTTTTAGATCGGTCGAGGGTATATGTCCAAATCAGTTGAGTAGTGCTTAGGTTAGCTTATTGTTTTGCTTGTTTTTCGGTCGAGGGTATATGTCCAAATCAGTTGAGTAGTGCTTAGGTTAGCTTATTGTTTTGCTTGTTTTGATCTCTATTTTTCTTGTTTATCGGGTACTGCTTGCTTATGGAGGTCGTAATGCAGAATCGCAGTCATAATCTCTAGCGTAGGTTGAGCCTTTTGGCTCGGTCAAGGGTATATGTCCAAATCAGTTGAGTAATGTTTATGTTAGCTTAGGATTTTGCTTGATTTCCGGTCAAGGGTATATGTCCAAATCAGTTGAGTAATGTTTATGTTAGCTTAGGATTTTGCTTGATTTCTCCTTTTCTTCTTATGTCCAAATCAGTTGAGTAATGTTTATGTTAGCTTAGGATTTTGCTTGATTTCTCCTTTTCTTCTTTATTCGGTTCTGCTTGCTTATGGAGGTCGTAATGTAGAATCACGGTCGTGATCTCTAGCATTGGTTGAGCTTTTTGGCTCAGTCGAGGGTATATGTCCAAATCAGTTGAGTAGGCCTAGGTTTGCTTATTGTTTTGCTTGTTTTGATCTCTCTTTTTCTCCTTTATCGGGTTCTGCTTGCTAATGGAGGTCGTAATGTAGAATCATGGTCGTAATATCTAGCGTGGGTTGAGCCTTTTAGCTCGGTCGAGGGTATATGTCCAAATCAGTTGAGTAGTGCTTAGGTTAGCTTATTGTTTTGCTTGTTTTGATCTCTATTTTTCTTGTTTATCGGGTACTGCTTGCTTATGGAGGTCGTAATGCAGAATCGCAGTCATAATCTCTAGCGTAGGTTGAGCCTTTTGGCTCGGTCAAGGGTATATGTCCAAATCAGTTGAGTAATGTTTATGTTAGCTTAGGATTTTGCTTGATTTCTCCTTTTCTTCTTTATTCGGTTCTGCTTGCTTATGGAGGTCGTAATGTAGAATCACGGTCATGATCTCTAGCGTTGGTTGAGCTTTTTGGCTCAGTCGAGGGTATATGTCCAAATCAGTTGAGTAGGCCTAGGTTTGCTTATTGTTTTGCTTGTTTTGATCTCTCTTTTTCTCCTTTATCGGGTTCTGCTTGCTAATGGAGGTCGTAATGTAGAATCATGGTCGTAATATCTAGCGTGGGTTGAGCCTTTTAGCTCGGTCGAGGGTATATGTCCAAATCAGTTGAGTAGTGCTTAGGTTAGCTTATTGTTTTGCTTGTTTTGATCTCTATTTTTCTTGTTTATCGGGTACTGCTTGCTTATGGAGGTCGTAATGCAGAATCGCAGTCATAATCTCTAGCGTAGGTTGAGCCTTTTGGCTCGGTCAAGGGTATATGTCCAAATCAGTTGAGTAATGTTTATGTTAGCTTAGGATTTTGCTTGATTTCTCCTTTTCTTCTTTATTCGGTTCTGCTTGCTTATGGAGGTCGTAATGTAGAATCACGGTCGTGATCTCTAGCATTGGTTGAGCTTTTTGGCTCAGTCGAGGGTATATGTCCAAATCAGTTGAGTAGGCCTAGGTTTGCTTATTGTTTTGCTTGTTTTGATCTCTCTTTTTCTCCTTTATCGGGTTCTGCTTGCTAATGGAGGTCGTAATGTAGAATCATGGTCGTAATATCTAGCGTGGGTTGAGCCTTTTAGCTCGGTCGAGGGTATATGTCCAAATCAGTTGAGTAGTGCTTAGGTTAGCTTATTGTTTTGCTTGTTTTGATCTCTATTTTTCTTGTTTATCGGGTACTGCTTGCTTATGGAGGTCGTAATGCAGAATCGCAGTCATAATCTCTAGCGTAGGTTGAGCCTTTTGGCTCGGTCAAGGGTATATGTCCAAATCAGTTGAGTAATGTTTATGTTAGCTTAGGATTTTGCTTGATTTCTCCTTTTCTTCTTTATTCGGTTCTGCTTGCTTATGGAGGTCGTAATGTAGAATCACGGTCGTGATCTCTAGCATTGGTTGAGCTTTTTGGCTCAGTCGAGGGTATATGTCCAAATCAGTTGAGTAGGCCTAGGTTTGCTTATTGTTTTGCTTGTTTTGATCTCTCTTTTTCTCCTTTATCGGGTTCTGCTTGCTAATGGAGGTCGTAATGTAGAATCATGGTCGTAATATCTAGCGTGGGTTGAGCCTTTTAGCTCGGTCGAGGGTATATGTCCAAATCAGTTGAGTAGTGCTTAGGTTAGCTTATTGTTTTGCTTGTTTTGATCTCTATTTTTCTTGTTTATCGGGTACTGCTTGCTTATGGAGGTCGTAATGCAGAATCGCAGTCATAATCTCTAGCGTAGGTTGAGCCTTTTGGCTCGGTCAAGGGTATATGTCCAAATCAGTTGAGTAATGTTTATGTTAGCTTAGGATTTTGCTTGATTTCTCCTTTTCTTCTTTATTCGGTTCTGCTTGCTTATGGAGGTCGTAATGTAGAATCACGGTCGTGATCTCTAGCGTTGGTTGAGCTTTTTGGCTCAGTCGAGGGTATATGTCCAAATCAGTTGAGTAGTGCTTAGGTTAGCTTATTGTTTTGCTTGTTTTGATCTCTATTTTTCTTGTTTATCGGGTACTGCTTGCTTATGGAGGTCGTAATGCAGAATCGCAGTCATAATCTCTAGCGTAGGTTGAGCCTTTTGGCTCGGTCAAGGGTATATGTCCAAATCAGTTGAGTAATGTTTATGTTAGCTTAGGATTTTGCTTGATTTCTCCTTTTCTTCTTTATTCGGTTCTGCTTGCTTATGGAGGTCGTAATGTAGAATCACGGTCATGATCTCTAGCGTTGGTTGAGCTTTTTGGCTCAGTCGAGGGTATATGTCCAAATCAGTTGAGTAGGCCTAGGTTTGCTTATTGTTTTGCTTGTTTTGATCTCTCTTTTTCTCCTTTATCGGGTTCTGCTTGCTAATGGAGGTCGTAATGTAGAATCACGGTCGTGATCTCTAGCATTGGTTGAGCTTTTTGGCTCAGTCGAGGGTATATGTCCAAATCAGTTGAGTAGGCCTAGGTTTGCTTATTGTTTTGCTTGTTTTGATCTCTCTTTTTCTCCTTTATCGGGTTCTGCTTGCTAATGGAGGTCGTAATGTAGAATCATGGTCGTATTATCTAGCGTGGGTTGAGCCTTTTAGCTCGGTCGAGGGTATATGTCCAAATCAGTTGAGTAGTGCTTAGGTTAGCTTATTGTTTTGCTTGTTTTTCTTTTTCTCCTTTATCGGGTACTGCTTGCTTATGGAGGTCGTAATGCAGAATCGCGGTCGTAATCTCTAGCGTGGGTTGAGCCTTTTGGCTCCATGTTTTCCTTTCGAGCTAAAAGGCGTCCAATGCCAATGTTAATTGTCATGTGGGATATCTTATTCATAGACAATTCATGAACATTACCACAACACTGATAACAATAATGTGATTTTTTACCATGAATTTGATACGGTCTCTGGTTGAGTGATATCATGGCTGGATGCTTCAAAAAAAATACTTATCCATTATTTTTCACCATGAGCAAGTTCATCTTTCATATGAGATTCGAAAATGTTCTGTTTCAATGATTATTTTATAATATCGGTCAACTAATTAGATCATTTTGCGCACGAACACGATCCTGTTCATAACGAAAAATCTAGTTTCTTTGCTTATGGTAGGTGTTGGATGATAAAAGTGTCCCACATCTGCTAATTTAGGAAATGATCATGGGTTTATAAATAAAGAATACTCTTTCCGTTGGTATGAGGCCTTTTCGGCTCTCCAAAAGCAAAGCGATGAGAGCTTATACTCAAAGTGGATAATATCATACCATTGTGGAGAGTCGTGTTCGTCTAGCCGTTGGTCCTCTGAAAATAGATTAGTAAATATTTTCTTTTACTGCTGCAGCGGAGTTCACAAGTACCAAAATTTGGTAAGTGGGATGATGGGGATGATGTCCCGTATACAGCCTATTTTGACAATGCCACAAAGGCTAAATTAGTGAGGATAAATATGAACGATCCTTCTCTTGACCAAGTGGAGATTTTAGACACAGTGAGGTCAAACTATGAGCAACACAGAATCAAAGAAGGTGTTCTTGTGAGGAGGCAAACCGAGTCTCCATTGCACCACGATGCCCCGGAAATGCCTGGTCGGGATTCTAATGGTATAAAGTCAGCGAAGAGTCGAGGTCAACAAGCATCAAGGCCAAAGCATGCACAAGAAGATTTGGGCTTGGAAGATGCTAACATGAAGAAACATGTTGATTCCCCTTTGGACCATCAATCAATAGGTCGGGTAAGCTTTAACTCGCCTCGTCATCAACGTCAGGCTAACTCTCCACATCATCAACGCGAGGGCAATAACATGACCAGTAATTCATCAAAAAGGACTACAAGAAATGGCGTAGGTTCTGACTGCAGCATAGAAAATTCACCTCTTCATCCACGGCAGCATCCAAGGACTGAAGCAAAAACTGCAGTACCATCTTCGCCATTACGAGAAAGAAGGGGTTCAGGTTCGCCTAAAGGAGGTAGTCATGATGGTTTAGCTCCCTCGACTCCCGGAAGATCACGTCAACAATCTGTTCCTCGGGGCAATGAAAGCGTAGCTTCTTTTTCTCATTTCCTTCATTCACTCTTGATAACATGACTTTGAATGACATAATCTGTTATGTTTGATCTTGCAGCCGGATCGTAGTGCCACTGTCCCAAAATTTGGTGACTGGGATGAGAGCGATCCAACATCATCTGAGAACTACAGTGGCATTTTCACCAGAGTGCGCGAGGAGAGACAATCTGAGGACGGAAGTTTGCGGGTTGGGACTAATGTTTCTAGCGCCACGAGTCGTAAACGTTCTGAAAATTCTAAGGTACGCCATTCTTTAACACGAGATCTTTTACTCTTATTTCCCATTAGAATCACTACTGAACTCAAAAGCTCAAAAGCAAATCTGTGATTTACCAAATCAAAAGATGATGTGATCATGGATGATGGGTTGGTTTGTTGGGTGTGATTATTTTGAAAATTTAGCTCAAATTTAGCCATTTTCATGCAAAAGTTCTAGGTTGATAAAAGTATGTGATTTATTCTTCATACAGAGATGTGGCTGTTTTCCATGGGGGAAATGATTGCTCAGTGTCACGGTGAGTGCGTGGTGACACTTACGAGTGCGATTGTAACACTTAGCTCGATGGAACGGGAATGGTGAGGAATTGTTTAATGGAAGCCTGTGTGCCGGCAGGCACATATGGCCAAGAGGTTAGTGGCAAGGCTTTGTTCTTTTTGGGTCTATGCTCTATGAATGCCACCACCTCTTTTTTATTCAAAACATTTATCATTATTGGTGACGACGTATGTATTATATCAAATATGATTATCAAATATTATCCAATCAAGTGATCGTTAAACTAGACTACCTTGTGCCCTTGAATCGGTAACCATCTTTAGAACGAGGATTAGATTAATATTGTTATCTGAATTTCAATTTTATTGATAAAATATTCCTTCAAAAAAAAAAGATAAAAATTAATATTATAATTTTTTTTGTTTTTTTTAAAGGATGACATCTTTTATATTTTACTCGTGTTTAATGTCCGAGATGTTGGTTAAATACTTATATGGATAATGAATGTTTAAAAAATTCGGTGATTTCAATAGAACGTTTGGATTTGTTTGTTAACTTATTTAAATTTGGTTCAAATGAAAATATAAGTGGAGTAGATTTGTGAGTTCCATTAAAATTAATTTGGGTTAAAAATTGAACCAACTCGAACTTACTATTCATTTAAAAAAATACATTAATATATTTTTTATACATGTATTTATTTTAATTTTATGATTATGATTTATTTGAATGTAATTTTTTGAAATATAAGTTGAGAAACTAAATAAATAAATATTTTATACATTAATAAATATTAATATTTTACTTTTATTAAAAATAAAAAAATGAGTTGGGTCTAAAAATTATTACCATTACTAATATAGACAATATAATATTCACGTGTTTAAAGAAATTAATTTTTATTTAAAGTAAAGGATATAAAAACTCTCTCTTTCTATGAGTGTTGTAGGAAAGAGATTCCTAACTTGTATCAAATCAAACCCATCTTGACCGTCAAAAGCATCAATGGAAAGGGGGGAGAAAGACCGTTTGAAGTAGAAAATCATGTTGAATTTCTCTTGGTTCTCATCTTATTCAACCGTTCAATCATTGAGATCAAAGCTACAAATTTAACATGTTTATAATGAGTGAAGTATTCACTCATTTTCAACCGTTTTTCTTCACACGTGTCTCGATATAATAAATAGTTGTCATATATCTATATAACCCTTTAAGAATGTCCTAATAGTTGTCATAGATCTCTATAACCACCCGAGAACGTCCCTAATCGATCCACTGACATCCATTCTTCATAAACAAGGTCAGGACCGATAATCTAATAATTAACTTGGACAGTTGAGCTTTGGTTCCCTAGAACCTGACCTTAAATGTTTGGCTCCTAAGGAGGTCGGTTACGGTAATAGAAAAATAATCCTCAAATTGACGGAGCTCGATTTCAGTAGACGGTAGACGATATATTTTAATCCATTAGCAAGAGCATTATAAATTAAAAATATTACAAGGATTTTTAATCCTCAAAATTATTTTAAAAAAAAAACATGTATTTAATCGTTAAAAAAAAATAATAATATGAAATAAAAACGGCGTAATGAATCCCATTCCGGCTTAATTATGGGCCGGAAAACTTAATGGGCCTGGCGAGAGCCCACGGCGGAGAGGGGCGGGGAGGAATAAGGGAAGCGCCGAAGAGGACAAAGAGCAACGAAGATGGCAAATAAAGAATAATTTCGAGGAAAGGAGGATCGGTAAGGATGTAAAGTTTTTCAAAGAAAACACCTCTACATATATGGAATGGAAGCCAAGATTGCTTTTATATCGATTGCCGCTCCCTCTTTCCCTTCCCCTTTCTCCCTTTCTTTTCCCCATTTCTTCATCTTCCGCTTCGTCTCGCCAAGTTTCTTGGGTTTCCTCTTTCGATCGGCCTGCTCCAGCCGCAGTCCGCCGTTCACTTCTCCTCCAGGTACCATCTCCGTTACTATTTTGTTCATACTACTGTTATATTGCTCCAATCATGTTTTTTTTCTCTGATTTGTTGCCTATCTTTTTGTTTCTTGTTTGTTTCTGGTATTTCTGCTAGGTTTTAATGTGTTTGTGCTTCGTTCTGTGTTTTCGATTCTTGCCTTTTTCCGTTATTCGGCCTAGTTCCGAACTCTTGAACAAAGTCAGTTGAAGGTTTTAGCACGTCTGTTTCAGATTCGAGAAGATGATGCTTTGAATTGCTTGTACTGACGGTTCGATTTCTCTAGGGTTTTAAATGTGTTTTTTGGGGTCTGGTTAGGGCTTAAATCTCAACAATATATTAGCTAAATTAGGGGTTTTATTATTTTTATTTTTTGATGTTCATTTGGGGTTTTATTGTCATTTTTATTTTATTTTTAGTTCATTTGGGCCTTTATTCTTAAATCACAGTTTCAAGGGCCATGATTGGAGAAAACAATCCTTGATATAAATGGTCGATTTAGATGGTTTATACAAGTATAAATAGTTTATATAAGATTAAGTTTGAATAATAGAAATTCAAAAATCGGAATCATCGGTTTCATATTTTAAACTTCGTCACGGTTCTCCGAACTGTGTATAAATTAAACAGATTTTCATTTATAACCACTAAACAGGTTAATTTTGATACGCACTGTCGTTAAAAAAAATTAAACAGATTTTCAATTGGGTATCCTATCAATATTCCATTTCACTGGCCTTTTCGTCCTCTCGATTTTGTTCTTGATCAATGATGCGCAAAGGAAGAGAGGTCTGTGTTTTTTGTTTCGTTTTTTTAACGTTTAACTCATTTGTTCAATTCAATGTAGACTTCTAGTGAATTGCATTATGGATGATTCAACCTCGTAATTATTTAGATCTGAATTACTTCTTCATTTCTGTGGATGATTCTACTTTTTCAGGTCTGAAATACACAAAGGGCTGTCGGAATGAGCATTCAAAGTACAAATGATCTACATGAACGGAGAGCAAGAGTTGTTGAGAGAAGAACAAGATTGGACATTGACTTAAATTGTCCACCCCCGGATGAGTGCATTGACCCAACTGGCCCTCACGACGAAGTGGCACAGTATAATAATCATCACCGAGAACAAGCTACGGACGCAGTTGATGAGGACATTGCTATAATCTCCCCTCGGAAATTTGCTGAAGTATGCAGTATTTTTGGTAAATTATTATGATTATATGTCTAACTAGGCCACATGAGGAATTTAAGATGGTGCCAATTTTTTTAGGCCAGGAAGAATTTTCGAAGAAACCACTTTGAGAGTAGCTATGGTGTAGTCGTCAGACGTAATGGCAGCACAGAAGTTTATAGTGCTCTCACAGGTTTATTTCCTTTTCTTTCCAATTCTTAAACTTCTTGATATATATTTCAATAGTTGGTTATTTCTCTCAGATAGTATGGCTACATTACCATTTCCCGGTATTTTATAAGGTACACTCAAGATGTTCTTTTAGAATGTTCAATATATTCACATTCTTGGATTTTTCTTATGTACTTTGAATCTTCTATATCTGGATCCACAAGACTGGTTGAATAGAAATCAGTATAATGCATATTTGAATTATATTTCGTTAGGTAAGAGAAAATCTTATGAAATCAAATCCCTAGTTCTTAGCATGCAGGCTGTTGTTTAAAGTTTTTATGAGCTTTTCTGGTCGCCTGTAAGCTTCCTCAAGATGGATTCAAGACTTTGTATTTCTACTAATAATCATATGTTCAAAACTTGTTCCTCTTTTCATTGCCGATCAGTTTGTCCAACTTCATTTGCATCCAATTGCCGATAATTTAACGAACACATTCCTGCCCGAACTTTGAAAATTATTTTGATTGCAGTTAACCGAGAAATTACCGTTCTTTTGATTGAAGGCCTTTTTTGTAGTTCGCCTCCTTTTTTGTGTCTCTTTATATTCTTTCTTTCATTTATCTCAATGAAACCTGGTTATATTCATAAGGGGAAAAACAGTGAAATGAATTAACACATTTATTATCATTTATTACTCTGTTGCCAAGCTGCTTATGTGTTCTTATTTAACCTGTTTTCAACTATTTCGCAGATGTATCAAGTTGGCCCCCCTTTACAATTTGGTCGCCCCGTACGAATAGGAATAGTGTATCCATACAGGAACAACAAACAACTCACAACTTGGACCTCCGCTTAAGCTGTGAAACCAGTAGTAGGGCCACTAAGGTAATACTAATTTAGTGGTTATTTTCACCTGCAAAAACTTGGAGTTGCCTGTTCATCTGTGTATATTGAAACTGAATATAAAGTGTTTTGAAAAATTCAGGCTTCATTCGATGAAAGTTGCATTATTGATTTCTGTTATTAAATAATGTGGCTGTTTACTGAAGATTTATTTGTTCCTTTCTTCTACACAGAAGTATAACCCAAATGGGAAAAAAAGGAAAAAGAACTTTCCTAAAATCTCTAGGAAAACCTTGATTCAAGTTTTGATCCATAAAGTTCAAATCCTTCGGTTAATCCCTTGTGAATTTGGAATATCTTTTAGATGCTTTTCTTCCGTGCAAACATCTCAACCAATCTGTTAAAAATTTGCTTCATCTTGTGCAATGATCCAAGTTTCAGTTGGCACAAAACTTGGGCAATGATTTGAGCGAAGTCTTAACCAACTTCAAAACCACAAAATATTTGAGGTTCAATGCGTAATGATGCCAATATCTGAAGTAGATCTATGATGTTAAATCACTGATTAACATCATTTTCCCATCCTTGTTTAGTAGAACTTGAAATTGAACTGTTATCTCCTTATTGCAGGTAAAAACTGACATTGTTATTCCTTCTGCACCTGCACTAAATAGTAGCATCACACCTGCAGATCGGAAGTTGCGGTGTGCGATCTGCATAGAACCATTGGTCGAAGAAACGACGACAAAATGCGGGCACATTTTCTGCAGGAATTGCATTGAAATAGCCATTGCAACTCAACACAAATGTCCCATATGTCGGCGTAAGCTTAGAAAACGAGATATTATTCGGATTTACCTTCCTTTTTCGAGTTAAAAAAAAAAAAAATGAACACAACACAAGAATATTGCTTCTGTGTATTATGTATTCTTTTTCTGACGACGACAACGACGACTAGATTTGTACTTGCACACAGTTGCATTAACAAATATAGATTTCTTGATTTCTTCTTTCTGTATGGAATGAAACTAAAAACAAAAAACAAAAACCTGTTTGATGAGTTGTACTCTCTACTTGTATTTGAGTTTAAATAGTTCATTGATTAGAAAGGGGTGAATGAATGATTTGGCCCTCTTCTTTGCCTTACAATGCCTTTCTCTCTTCTTACTCTAAGCATATGTTTTGTGTTCTCTTATGTTGTGTTCCTCAGCCTGAACAAGGCCTTTATGAATGTCTTTCTTCTTCCTTGTTTATCCATGGCGGTACGAATCTCAAACCAGGTGCCTTTGCCTCTACTCAATTCTGCTTTTCTCTTTCTTTCTCAACCAAATTAACAAGAAATGCTAATTATATCGGATCCCGTTTTTTATTTTCTTTTTTTCTTTTGGGTCGGAGACTAGTCGAGGATTTTGATCATCTTTTATGATCTTTGAGTGTGTTACATCAGTGTCGAGAAGTTTCTTTGAGACGTTTAACTTGAGCGTGTGTAATCAGTGTCGTGAAGTTTCTTTGAGGCATATAACTTGAGTTTGGCTCGGTTTAGAGAGTGCTCTTCAATGGTCGAAGAGTTTATTCTTTCCCCTTTCGTGAAAAGGAGTGTTTTTGTGATATTTTAAACGATCTTTAGGTGGAATTAAATATTAAAGATGCACCTAGTTTCGTGAAAATGAGTGTTTTTGTGATATTATCTTTAAGTGGAATTAAACACTAAAGATGCACCTAGTTGATTTAGTGTACAACCGATTCAATAAAAATAAAATTTTATTTCACGTTTTAAAATATATAAATTTAAAAATTAAATCAATGGTTCAAAAATTGTGTTATTATTTTATATATTATATAGTATTGTACATATTTTAATTTAACAAAATAATTGAGTTTATTAAAATGAAATATTATATGTACTAAAGTTTTTATCTAGTGAAAATGGTAAAAAATTATCTAAATTACGCGGTGAAAATTGATTTAAGTCAATAATTTAGAGGTAAAAATTGAAATTTTTACTATATATTTTTAAAACTCCTTCCGCTTCTCAATTACGCGGGCAAAATCTTGCATCCAAAGCCCCCCATTATTCAAGCGCTCGCCACGGGGATACAAAAAATTCTCTCCACTTCTCTCTCGTTTTGAGTTTCGCACAGGGGAATAACGCGAGGAATCTCTCTCGGTTCTGTGCGAATTCCGGCTGTCGATGAAGAAAATAATGCCGGAATCGATGGAAGCTACACCGTCTGTGTCTTCAAGCCTCGATCTCCAAGCAGTTCGCAGGTTTCTCTCTGTCTTGTTTCTGTGTGCACTAATTACGTGTAGCAATGTATAATCCGACGTCATTTTTACTTAAACTGAAGTCGCATCAGAGAGCTAGAAGAGTTGCAGAGATCTTTGGCGGAAGATGAAGCTTATAGCACGGATTCATTAGGTTCTGAAAAGTTACTGAAGGAATGCGCTCTCCATCTCGAGGTTTTCTATTGCCGATTATTTTACTTTTCTACATCCCTTACTTTTTCTCTCTCGTGTTGAAAGAAAAACTCGTGGCTCTTATTCTTTGAAATGTGCAGAGCAGACTACAGCAGGTTCTGTCAGAATGCTCTAACGTTGATAGTTTCTTGGGGATTGATGATTTAGGTAATTCTGTTAAGCTTACTTATGAATTTACTATGGTTTGAATGCATTTATGTGTGTGCATTTCACAATTTCGTCCTCCGTTCTGTTAGATGATTTTTCCTTCATTTTAGTAACTGCTACTAGATCTGATTTATGTTTCCTTTCCTGCGTTTTGATCGATTTCTCCAATGTTTTTTTTCCTTCACAACTTTTTAAATCTCTCTCTAGATGCATATGTGGAACACATGAAAGAGGAACTCGTTGCGGTGGAAGCTGAAAGCAGCCAAATCTCCAATGAGATAGAGGTTCTTAAGAGAACCAATATAGAAGGCAATCTCTTCGTTTATGTTTTGATTTATACTTTTTAGCCTCCTATTTGTATTGACGTCCTTCTTTTGCTTCCGATCACAGGTTCTAATAAATTAGAGGTGAATCTCGAATTATTAGACGTGTCGTTAGATCGTTTTACATCACAGGTTAGTCTCCATTGCAAAATAATTTGTACGACACCAACAGTTACTAGACTAGGATGAGCGGAGGAAGACAATGATTTAACTTAAATTTTCTTTAAAAGTTGCCTGACCTAAATGTTGAAAAGAATTAAATCCAACTATGGAAGGTGTTTGTGACTTGTATTCATTTCAGTAATTGGACGAATGAGAAATTAGGGCAAAAACAAGATATATGAAGCTCGAGGAAGTGTAATATCTGAAATTTTTAGACGAACTCATATTATGTAGGCTCTTGCTCCTTACGTTATTTAAAGAAAATAAACTGTACAATATATTGGATTAGATATTCTGCCAAGCTGTTTCGAGACATTACTACTAATGTTTGATTTTTTTTTTTTTTTTTTTTTTTTTTTGCAATGATTAAGTTCACTTTTTCCTTATTTTCAATTTGATTTTCTCTATTATTTTTGGCGTATGATTAACATAGCTTGTTTATAGGCCTAATAAAAGTTCGTCCCTAGTGAGAACGTCTGTCACCATTTTCTCCTTATTACAATCTTGTAGGATCCTGAGAAGGAAACATTTAATTTCTGCTCTATGAATGGTGAAGACCAAATGAACGTGATAGTTGACCGTGAACGCAATGCTTTTGAGGTCTTTTCTATTACCTTATTACTTCTAACTTTGTTTTTATTGTCACATGTTCTTTTTATTCAATTTTGATCAATTATAAGCACGTTTCTAGGGAGCAGTCGATCTAATGAGCTTAATTAAGGCCATGGTTCCATTTACTGTTTCAATCATGGTATTGTAGCTCAATGAAAACTATATGTGGTTTGACTAATTCTGAAGTGGTTCTTTTCTTCGAAACTCTTTATGCTTCTTCCAGGTTTTGGAACTTGATAGTCATATTGAGAAGAATAAAAGAATTCTGAAATCTTTGCAGGAAGTAGATGAGATATTTAAAAGGTAATATGTGTTTTGAGGTTTTAATTTTTGTATCCAAATCTCCCGACCTTCAAACCTCTTCAGTTATGCAACATAGTTATGACTTTAAACCACTTCTCCCGATCCAATTGTTCATCTGATCCTCAAAAATCTCTTTTCTCCACCCTCAGCTTTGTCACCTTGCCCTCAGGTTTGAAATATCATAAATCTGAAAACTTTCTCTTTGTTGAATCCTCCTTCCCTCGGAGCATGAAACCTTCGTTTTATAAAAGGGATTATGATTATGCCACGATCCTATAGGGAGTTGCCATGGCGCTGCCCTCGATTTAGGCAGAAATTAAAATTTTGGAGTGCCATGACCTCATAAGGGAATTGACATGGTGTTGTGCTGTAGCATCACTGCGCCTTCTTGTAGTGCTCTTTTCTTGCCTTTTCTTTGTTCTGCAGAGCCCCACGATTCTGTAACAACCACCTAGGCACCATTCTCTTGCCGCCTTTGTATGGTCTTCTTCTTGCACACAGGCTGATTTTTCTCTAAATATCTCTTAAAACCTTCACTTTCTCTACTTGTTTTTGTTCTACACAATAAAAATTCACGTGCACAAATCTGACACAATCAACACAAAACTAACAGTAATCAAGTTATAATCCTTATGAATTATAGCCCACTAAGTGCTATCAATCTAGTAATGACTTCTCTCTCCCTCCCTCCTCATAACTCTCTCCCTCTAGTTTGGATGTTGTTGAACAGGTTGAGGACACAATTGGAGGTCTGAAGGTCATTGGTGTTGCTGATAATTTCATTAGATTGTCATTACGTACACATATTCCAAACTTGGAAGATTTTTCAAGCTTACAGAGACTTGAAGGAATGATCGAGCCATCAGAATTGAATCACGAGTTGCTAATAGAAGTTTTGGAAGGAACAATGGAGCTAAAGAATGCTGAGGTATCCCTTTAATTGGTTATGTATCGTAACTAATTGTATCCACGGTTATCACGGTCAAGTTCTTATTAGAGTTTAAAATCCAAGTAATTCCATCTGTTGGCACCTCTCTCTCTCTCCCATCAATGTAAATTCTGTTGAAGGAGCTTAATTCATTAATAATTTCACAGATCTTTCCTGGTGATGTCCACTTGCACGATATCATCAATGCTTCAAAGTCAGTCAGGTTTGTTTTCTATAAGATTCATGTATACTCCACTGTACTCAAGAATAATTGAGAGGTTGGTCTTTTATTTTACAGTAGTATAGCACTGACAATGTTACATACTTGTAGCTTATTCGTTTACATATTCTTGTTAGATGTTAATTTGATCTACCTGCTTTATTAACTGGCGTTGTACAACTTTCACCAATTATATTGGTTTGCTGGAATCATAGATGAAACTGTTTGAGTTGAATTGCAATGACATGAGGGATAATAATATGTAACTAAAAAAAGTTGGATAAATATCATATAATAGTGACATCACCTCTATTTATATGTAATTGTAATGATTTGATCATAAATTTTCCAGACTTTTTACTTATTGAACAGAATGCAATTTATCTGACCCGTTCATTTTGCTTTTGACTGAGCAGCAATTCATTGGAATGGTTTGTGAAAAAAGTACAAGATAGAATTGTTTTGTGTACTCTTAGGCGATTTGTTGTGAAGAGTGCAAACAAATCAAGGTGAGACCCGTAAAATTTTCAGATCTTTTGTATAGTTAGAAGTAATGTATAGGATAGGTTTTTTTTTTTTTTTTTTTTTTTTTTTTTTTTTTTTTTTTTTTTTTTTTTTTTTGTGTGTGTGTGTGGAGTACTCTCTATTTCCATACAAGAATTTCCCAGCCCATATTTCCCATTTTCGAAAATGACGCGGGATCGGGAATGCACTATGTACCTTTCAGTCGGTACAGTGTCTTTCGCTTTCCCCACTCTTTTCTCCTTCCCTTGTTCTTGGCCATCCAGTTAGATATGTATAGAAAGTTCTTTCACCTGGGGATCATACCTTCTCCTTT